TTGTGTGTGTGTGTGTGTGTGTGTGTGTGTGTGTTTGTAGGCTGTATGTGTGATCATGCTAAACTCCTGCCTTCCAAGATATCAGTGATACGGATTTACAGTTTAGGGGGAATAAAAAATTAATTAAATGAATATACACAGAGGTCATTAAACTGTGGTGCTGGCTATGAGGCGAAGCATGAGAAACGCTAAGAGTTGATGGCAGAAGTACCTGGGTTTTGACAGTCTGGGGAGTTTCCTTGAGCAGTGGTTATTGGCTGAGCAGCTATCTAAAGGGCGATTGGAACTGGAAAGAGGGACTTCCTGAAGGCGAGGACTGAGTTTAAGGTGTCCTAGACTAGAAATCTCCAGTGCCTGCCTGTTTTTGAGGGAGGACCTTGGGTTGTGGCGTGTGCCTTGTAAGGGCATCCATGAACGACTAAGTGGTTTTCAACTGGCTGCTGTGTGCAGGGTGGATTGAGGAGAGGAAGGAGCTGTTTAGGAAGGCGGAGGAAGGGAGGCTTCCACCAGGCAAGAGAGAAATGGGAATGGGGGAAATTGGCTTAGAAACGGAGGACTTCATAGTCCACCGGAGGCGGAGGGCTCCCAACCACAACGTTTTCCTTGCCCCCTTTTGCATCCAAATGTCTGTGACTGTCACCCTCCCTCCAACAGTGGCTTCACAGAGGTGCACTTTACCTCGGGCCTGCTCCTCCGGGGCGACCTTACTTCCCCCACCCCTCCCCGCGCACACCGCAGGCCTGCAGTTCGCACCTTTCCCGGGAGGTGGCAGCAAACGGAAACTAACCAGTCACTTACGCTCTCATTGGGAAATTTCCCCATATTCCAAAAAAAAAAAAAAAAACAAAAAACCCAAACAAACCGTCTTTCTGAGCGGCCTCGGAGGGCGGAGGGTGTGACTTCACCGGGGAATGTTTCCCGGGGCAGAGGCCAGACTGAGTCAGTGAATTTTGCGGCGGTGCCTCCCTCTTTATTTTTGGCTGTGGCCTGTTTGCACAGGCTTCCTGTGTGGCAGTTGCTGACCTTTGGCAGCCAAACCACCGGCCCAAGGGGACATTCTTCCTTCACTAACTCAGACCTGAGGGTCAAAGAATGAGACAGGCTGAGCCCAGGTGATGACGGAGGGGGGAGTTGACCTGGGAAACATGTTAGAATCTGAGCCTGGCCAGAGAGGGAGACAGGCTCTGAAAGCTGTTGGCAACAGGCTCAAAAGGGTGTAAGTGAAAGACCGAGATTCGTCAAGCAAGGTAAGGGGCAGAGAAAGAGAGGACTGGGTAGCTGGTGAAGAAGTACACCACATACAAACAGCAAAAAACCTGAGGTCAGGTTAGGGGCTATTATTGCCTGAGGAACAAACATCGGAATCCGGGGCCTCCCCTTAGCTCTGGACTGGTTTCTGTCGATCGGTGTGCAGATCTGAACCTACCATGTGACAATCCCTCCAGGAACATGTCTTCCCCGTCTGGCAGGTCTCGTCTTTTCTCTTTCCTCCTTTTTTGGTTATTAGGTCTCACGTAGCCCAGACTGACCTCAAACTCACTACAAACTTTTGATCATCTTGCCTCTACCTCCTGAGTGCTGGGTGCGCACCACCTTGCCTGGGTTATTCAGTGCTAGGGGATTTATGTTCTATATCTACGGGAGGTCTCGACCAACAGAGTTCCCTCCCTAGTCTGTCAGTGTTGGTGTATTAGCCTGTCCAGTTCAGCAGATGTGTGAGGGAGACCTGCAGTGCGTAGCTGTGTGAGTCAGCTCTACGACACTATAACAAATACCCGAGAGAATCCACTTAAAAGAGGAAGGAGTTATTTGAACTCATCATTTCAGAGGTTTCAGTACATGGTTGTCAGCCCTTTGCTTTGAGCCCATGGTGGCACAGGGCATAATGATGGTAGCATATGGCAAAGGAGGCTTATTTCCATCACTGCAGCTGGGAAGCAAAGAGAGAAAGAAAGGAGTTGGGGTCCCACAATCCACTTCAAGAGCACACCCTCCTGACCTTCTATTAGACACCACTTCTTAAAGGTACCACCCACCCCGACCATATCACAGGCTGGAGACCAAGTTTCTCACACAGAGACCTTGGAGGAGCCCTTGGGACTTAAACTATGGAGACAGTCAATCCATCACTTAATCCAAATACTCTGAGAGGATGTCATGCTTTATACTACCAGAGACTGCTGGATCTTAAACCCTGATGCTTGCAGGTCATCTTTAGCGGACCTTGTATTATATTTCCATGTTTTGGTAGCCTGGATTTCCTGATACTAGCAAACATGATATGGCTTCGTCTATCACCATTTCTCCTTGCCTTGGGCTCAAGCCACCTTGAATAACTTGCAGTTCTCAGCCATACTGTTATCTGTCTGTCTGTATGTCTACGTCTGCACCTATAACTCATAGCCACATCTTTGGTAATTGTTTCCATCACCTGAGCTGGTTCTTGACCTATTGCATCAGGCAGGGCTCTCCAGAGCAGCAGAACCAGAAGGTGTACATACAAGTTAGAAGAAGCCCACAGTCTGCCGTCTGTAGGTTTGTGGCATAATTCAGTCTGAGTTCAACAATCTGAGAACTAGGAGCACTGACATTTAAGGGCCAGAGAATATGGACATTCCAATTCAAACACAATGAGCAAACTTGTACTTTGTGATGGCCAGTCAATGTGACAAAATCTAGAATTGTCTGGTAGTTTAGAAGATCTGGAAGTTGGGTGGTTCACGTGTGTGTGTATGAGTGTGTGTGCGTTCACCCATGGAAGAGTACCTTGATTGTGTTAACTGAGGTGAGAAGACCTGCCACTGTGGGTAAGCCATTCCATGGTGGACTGTGCACCTAAAGACAGAAAGCTGAGCAAGCATCGCTACGCATGCCTTCACCCCACTCTGCTTCCTGATTGTAGATGTCCTGTCACTGGCTGCCTTGAACTGTGAGCTGAAATAAACCCTTTCTCCTTTGAGCTTATTTTTGTCTGGGTATTTTATCACAGCAACAAGAACAGGAGCAAAGACATCCCCCCTCTACCCTTTTGTTTGACTCAGGTCAGGGCTCGATCCAAGGGACGCTTCCTCCTGCACTGGTAAGGGTGGGTCTTTTTAAATAGTGTACTGATCTGCTAATCTCTCTAGACATACCCCAAAGCAATGTTTTATCAGCCACCTGGACATCCCTCAAACTGACACAGAAACCGTGTCATAGCCAAGTCACCCTCTCTGTGAACTGGGCACTCATTTTCAGCTTCATCTCTCCAGTCATGCTTCATCTCTAAAGAAAGACAGTAAAAAGTCACAGTTCCACCCAATATGGCATATTTATATTTCATACACTTGAAAAGAAAATGCATTCATCGTTCCTGGAAGAGAGGGTAAAGTCCTCCACTGGTGTTTACTGTTTTCCAGGTACTATAATGAAATATTAACAGTATTTGAATACTGACATAAAAGTCAATTTGATCTTAAAGTGTACGGCAGGGGAATGGAAGAAGAAAGAAAAGCAAAGATATTTGATAGAACTATAATATAAATGTTCATATACACAAACATATTCATAATAAAAGAGGGAGAAACATGAAAATTATAGTGCTCATTTTTGTAACTGGTCACCTGGTCATGGATGGTGGGTTTATTTTAGATGTATTTTTACTGTCTGTATGAGTGTTTTGCCTGAAAATAAATATGTGTACTTCGTGCATGCCTAGTGCCCAGAGAGGCCAGAAGAGGATGCTAGATCCCCGGGAACTGGAATTGTGGATGGTTGTAAGTTGCATGGGGATCAAATCTAGGTCCTCAGCTACAGCAGTAAATGCTCTTACAGCTGAGCTGCCTCTCCAGCTCCCATGGCTGGTGTTTATAACCACTTTCCATTGCTCGCCTGTATCTCCTTTGCCAAGAGCACCAAAATTGATTTTGATTGTATGCAGATTGAGTGACAGGAGCCTGTGGTGATATTTTTTTATGATCTAATAAAGCTTGTCTGAAGATCAGAATGCAAAGCTATCCACGGCCATAGAGGTTAGGCAGTGGTGGTACACATCTTTAATCCCAGCAAGCACACTAGTTAGATATAGAAGCTGGGCAGTGGTGGTGTACACCTTTAATCCCAGCACTAGAGAGGAATATAAGGCAGGAGCTCAGGGTCTCAGGTCATTCAGTCTCCAGTCATGCTAAGGACAGGATGGCCCCAGCCTTGGTAGAGGTAAGAACTCTCTGGTGACTTGGCTGCTTTGCTTTTCTGCCCCAACATCTGCCTCTGGGTTTTTATTGTTCGTGCTACAGGAGCCTTCATGCCTGAAGAGACTGAGAAATTAGTAGTCTTTGGGTCTTTGTACCTTTCCATTGACCTTAATCACAGGGCATGGAAATACAAGTAAACCACTGCCCCCAAATAGTCTTCCTAGCTCTACTATCCAGTAGTAGTCCAATTTTGTGTTGGTGATGGAGAACAAACACCCTAAATGTAATCTTCAATTCTCTCCTTAGCACATTGATACAAAGGCTTGGGGAAGCCAAAGTGGCTACATTGTATCTGAACTTCTGACTAGATGGAATCCCCCAGTCCCTGGTTGAAGCATTCTCTGGGAACAAGAGACAACTAGGCAAGTAGCGCATGACATTGCAGAAATTTTGCTCCTCAATAACTAGGTGTACTGTTACGATAAATCTTTCTGCCAAAAGCTGCCTGAGCCCCACCGCCACGTGTGTGCTTTACGCCAGCCGCCCGCCTTAGTTAGGCCCAAATGAATATACAGAAAGATTTGTATTAGGTTCAAAGCTGCTTGGCCAATGACTAGGATTCTCATCTGTTAGCTCAGTCTTAGCTATCATAAACCTATATATTTTATAAGACTTATCTTATCAGACGCCTTATTGGCGTCCCTCCTTGCCGGTGGATCACATTGTGTCGCTGGAGCAGGAGCGGAGCAGAAAATCAATAAGATAAACATACACAGAAGTACATTCCCCATCAGTGTACAGTGACTTTGAACCACTAAAACCTCCCTATTGGTGAAAGTGCTATATGTTGGCGTACCTGGGTCACACATACAGCCTTCTGAAGAACCTTCTTCCAGCCCCACAGAATACTGTCACCTAGCTGGCATTGTAACCAAGTCTTTAAAAGTCACTGGCTGCTTCAGGCTGGTGGGGAACAGTTACAGCTAGTGAATTACATGAGTGCAGACTCACTGCCACAGTGTTGCCATGAAGTAAGCCCCACGGCCAGCAGCAGTGCTATGTAGGCTGGTGGATGAGGTGCTTTGTAAGTGCACCGTGGGCAGGCAAAGCAAATTACTAGCCGGAGGAAGCATTTATTCCGGAAAGGACAAAACACTGGTTGTTGGTGATTCCAAGCAGTCCATAACTGTTTTCATCTGGCCATTTCCTAGCCATATCTAAGGACTCAGGACGGTTGTCATTGTCCTCCGGAAAACTCCTTGACCACTTAGATATACAGACAGCATGTGCTTTGTTTTGTGCTAGACACTGGAGAAGCCAAATACATAAGTTACAGTCCTGAGTCTAGGTAAGAGGCCCTGTGGGACCTACTGCAATTGACCACAGGCTTCTATGGAAACACATAGGAGAACCCAGTCCAAATGGAGGACCAAAGATGATACTGAGTTAGACAACAGAGGGAACAGAGAGGGAGAAAATGTTTGCATCAAGAATTACTGGTAAGAAGAACTGTATCATATTTGGGCCACTACAGACTGTTTGGCCCAAAAGATAAAGACAGGTACGGTGAAAAAGTAGGCTGAGACTGGTTCATGCAAGCTTATGACAAATAACTTTCCATTGGAATGGTCTTGAGCTTTTATCCTGAAGACCTTCGGGAGAGTCTAAAGGATGTTGAAAAGGGGAGGTGAATAACGCCAGCTCAGGGGACCCAACGCCCTCTTCTGGCTCCCACTGGCACTGCACCCACATGGTGAACAGACATGCATGCAAGCAAAACATCTGCACTTATTAAATAAACAAATCTTTAAGAAACAAAACCCATGACTTTGGCTTCAGTGAGAAGGATACATCAGAGTTAGACAGGAATCAGAAGTGTGTGTGGAGCACAGATGTCCCAGACCAAGACTGACACTCAAGAGCAGGAAAATGGGAAGATTCAGGAGGTAGCAGAGAAAGGGAATTGCTGCAACTGATCAAAAATTCACTCTGGTTTCTGGCTTTGGCACTTGGAGGAATAGTTGCATTATGCAGCAAGATGGAGAACATCAGGGGAGATGTATTTGAGACAAAAT